GCAGCCATGGTCATGGTGTCTCTTAACAGCAGTAGAAACCCTAACTAAGGCAGTACATTATTCAATCATTACCCATTAGGGAGAAAGTATTATGAGAACACTGTTAATTTTACTTGTTTCTTTTAAGAATGGAAGATTGCTGTGGATATCGCTCTGTATAAATAAACACTAATTGGCCACTGGCCAGGCAGGAAGTTTAGGTGGGACTAACAAAAAAAAAAAAAGAAAAAACAGAAAGACAGAAAAGACACTGCCAGCCGCCGCCATGACAAGCAACATGTAAAGATGCCAGTAAGCCACTACCACGTGGCAAGGTATAGATTTATAAAAATGGGTTAATTTAAGATACAAAAACAGTTAGCAAAAAGCCTGCCAAGGCCATACAGTTTGTAAATAATATAAGCGTCTGTGTGTTTATTTTATAAGTGGGCTGTCAGACTGCCGGGGCTTGGCGGGACCTGGAGAGAAGTTCTCCAGCTGCAGAAGATCCCATTTTTATTTTATATTTCAGGTTTGCAGGCATGGCACAGATACAGTACAGCAGTCTCGTCTACATATCCTGTTCCTCCACTTACAGCTTTGACATGTGCATTTTTAAAATTATTATTTATTTTAAATTAACATATAGGTTGACTTTTTCATTGCATATAGTAACTAATATTACGTTTTTCATAAAGATCATAAAAAGACACGAGCATTGTAAAGTAATTATGGATTGAGTCCTGTATTTCAGTTAGTATAGGAGTTGCATAAAATGCACAAAGCCCTGTGTTCAGTGTCCAAAACCACATCAACCACACCACTGCATATGTTAGTGCTCACACTTAATATTAGCACTTAGGACTTGAAGTAAATCCATTTTAGCATCAATCCATTACCATTTTTCTTCTAATTATTATAGAAAATTAAATTTATGGCATTTATATTTCCTTCTTATATTTTTAAAATCTCAGCTAATTTTACTTTTGATATAAACATATTACACATAAGGATGTGTTGTTGATTCTCATGTGTTACTAATAGAAAATGTAGTAATCCAGTATAGTCATTCTTTATTTCATGTAACATACAATAACAGCTATTTCACTCAATGTGTTGATAGAACAACAAATAATGCCATAATTGTGAATCATCAACATCCTTTTTTTTTTTTTTTTTTTTTTTTTTTTTTTTTTTTGGTTTTTCGAGACAGGGTTTCCCTGTGTAGCTTTGCGCCTTTCCTGGAACTCACTTGGTAGCCCAGACTGGCCTCGAACTCACAGAGATCCGCCTGGCTCTGCCTCCTGAGTGCTGGGATTAAAGGCGTGCGCCACCACCGCCCGGCTCCTTTTAGTTTTTTATAGCAGTAAGTTAAAACAAAGAGTGGTATTACAAAAATTTCAATACAATACTTGGAAAATTTCTAACTTTTTTAGAAAAACATTCTTAAAAATTTATTGGGTTACTGGCAGCTGGAATATTTACTTTAATAGGTATTATTTCAGCCTCCACAGTTAGAGTCTTAGCATAAAACAAAATGTGAACATAAAACATAATGTGAAAACAACTTAATTTACAAACAAACTATGAAAATGTTTCTAAATTAGAAAAAGTTCAAGAAAAATTGATATTGATTTTATAGAATGATTGGATGGAGGAAAACAACCTAGGAATGTAAACAGTGTAAAACTTCTCCCACTTCCAGTTCTCTTGAAATATAAGTAAATATACAGAAAATTCCTTGGAAGCTCACTCTTGTATAGAAAATTGCTGTACTTTGAATAATGAGCCAATGGTATATAATGAAAGCTTGATGGAATTATATTCAATATATATTATTTATTAAGCTGTTTACAGATAGTGAGTTCTAGGTCAGCTGGAACTTTCTAATCAGATCCTGTAACAAAACAAAAAGCAAAATTATATTCAACTATATTTGTGAGTGTGTGTGTGCACGTGTGTGTTAAGACATGTCTTACTATCATACTCACTATGTAGACCAATCTGTCTCAAAGGCTCTGTTACCATGTTGGCTACATTCATTTCTGAGAATTTGGCAGGAACCAGTGGTGACACCTGAAATGACTTCAAGAGATATTGTCCTGAATCTGCTGTGCTCATCGTTATTTAGTTTTGTTTTTCTTTTACATTGCATGTGTGTGCATGTATGCCTCTGTGTGTGTGTGCGTGTGTGTGTATGCGTGTGCATGTGCGTGTGTGTGTGTGTGTGTGTGTGTGTGTGTGTGTGTGTGTGTGTCTATATAGCACAAGTTTTCCTCAAACTGCCAGTGGTCTTCCTGCCTCTATACTCCCATTTATGACTCAAGTAGGCTCTCCTAAAATTATTTAGTGAGACTTGAGAATGGTCAGACAAAAATACTGGTTCTGTGAAAGGATGAAGACTCAGAGACACAGGCTCATGCTGTGTTGCTGCAAACTAGGTGTTCACAGGGACCTCTGCTCAGGTCAAGCTGGGGCACCTTGGTACACTTTGGAAAGGATTTCAGGATGAGTCAATGTAAACCAGAATGTGAATTTTATTTCAAGACAGGTTCTCTCTATGTATTAATGGCTGTCCTTGAACTCAGAATGTAGACTAGGTTATGCCCAAACTCCCAGAATTCTACCAGTCTCTGCCTCCAAGTATTGGATTAAAAGTTGTGTCCCCATCATTCAACTTGTAATTTTATTATATATTTTCTTCTGACTGTTTGTATGGGTTGGTTCATTTGTGTGTGGAAAGGTGTGCATATATGTCATGGGATGGGTGGAAAATTCAGAGAATAACTTTAGTTGTTGGTCTTTTCCCATCAGCATGCTAGAGACAGGGTCTCTATTTTGCTACCTATTTTGTTCATAGCTGGCAGGATTTCTCCTCTCTGCCTTTATCTTGCCTTAAACCACTGGACTATAGGCATGTACTGTTGGAACTGACTTTATAAACGGATAGTTGCAAGGTGAGTACTTTATCTGTTAACCCATTTTCTCAGCCCTAAGGTTTATTGAGTAGAGAGTTGGAGTGGGTCTGTTTTGAGGCACAGTCTCACTTTCTAACCTGTCTGACCTGGGAACCATTATGTAGTCGATAGGCTATGCCTGGAACTCACAGACATCTACCTGTCTCTGCCTCATGTGACCACATCTGGCTAAAAAGAGATGTTTATCATGTATTTAACACAGATATTAGTGGAAAGAAAGAACTTTTGGATAGTGTGGTCTTGTGAGGGAGCGCCACACTTAAGAACTGACACAAAGCCATGTTTACAGTTCTGTTGACTTTGTAAGTTCCATTTCAATGGGTCCTTAGGGAGTCTCTCTCTATCACTCTTTCTCATTATGTCTTTGTCTCTCTATCTCTGTCTCTCTATCTCTCTGTCTCTCCTTCCCTTTGGTAAGAAGATCATAGGTCAGTTGCTGAGGTGGGGAGGGGACTTTGTAAGGCTGGGAATAGGAGCACTTCATCAGGCTCCACCTAGTGCCCCAAAAGGTCACATGTCATTAGGTCTGAATTGCATGGGAAAGAGGTTCTATACTCCAAAGGAGGGAATATCTTCTTCTATGATGGAATATCAACAGCCAGCAAACCTGATGGTGGTCATCCCTTATAAGCAGGCACAGTTGATCACAGGATGGTGCCAACTGTTTGTCCTTAGATAGTGCTGAGGAACAAGAATCAAACAAAAGAAAGCTGAATAGAAACTGTGTATAAGATAATGTAATAATTTAGTCCTTAGAGAAAACACAGGGCAGTCTTCATATATAATACATGGCATCACTGCTTTGTTGTTGTTGTTGTTGTTGTTGTTGTTGTTGTTGTTGTTTTAGACAGGGTTTCTCTGTGTAGCTTTGCACCTTTCCTGGAACTCGCTTTGTAGACCACGCTGGCCTCGAACTCACAGAGATTCGCCTGCCTCTGCCTCCTGAGTTCTGGGATTAAAGGCGTGCACTGGCACCGCCTGACGCTTTTGGTTTTTAATGGGTTTATGTAGGAAATACAAAGAACCAGCAAGCACATGACAAAACATCATTGAATAGATGTGTACAGCCAGCACAACTATGAAATCCCTCTTTAAACTATGATGCTCCAGCTTAGTATAGAGAGATCTTTACCCAAAGAGTTCGCTCTATGCTCTCTCCATAGATACACATCCCATTAGCACATGTGTAGACATGTGACCACTATACTTAAAAGCTGAACAAACAATTACATCCTAGCATCTTATTCTGTAACAGGCCTGGTTTACATACTACTTGTCTTTGGGTGTTTTAGAGGCAGACACCCCCACACACACCATTTAATTCCACTTTGTATGATTTGCTATGACCAAAGCATTGCCAAATCCTTTATATCACCAATTCTACTCTTCTGCATCACAGCTCAGTAGAGGAGTGCTACCCAGTACATGAGATGCCATTTGTAATCTCCACAAAATTAACTCCAAATGGATCTTACACATAAATGTCAAATTCAAAGTGCAGAACTCCTAGAAGATACTTGAGAAACTATGACTCTCTCAGTTTTGCAACCTGTCTAAGCCTTGGGAGGTTTCTCTAAGGCCCTGATGTATAGGGGCGGGCAGGGGAGGCGGGGGAGAGTTCCTTCTCTAAAACTAGGAATATGCTCGGGAGAGCTGGTAAAAGTCTGGGACCAGGGCCTTTGGGAAGGGTTTCTTCATATCCTGAGAACCATCTCTTTCCACACCTGGGGCTGTGGTAATCAGTCCCAGCCACTGTGGACCTTTTTTTTTTTTTTGTAATGTTCTAGAGATACCTTGTGTTCCTCTTGTGCAATATTGTCTGCGTAGCCTCCTTCTGAAAATGCATACTTTCTTTTAAAACTGAACCCATTAGTTTATATTAACTAGAGACTTGCTGTGGAATTTGGCTCAAATCTCCAGCCAATCTGGGATAGGTTTGTGCTTCAGGTGGAAGCCAGGGCTGGGAACCACTGTACTGTTTCCCTTCAGCTTACCCGGTCCTGTCACTCAGCCTCACTAGCCAATCAGGGAGTCGAGCGGACTCACCAGTCAGATGGGAGTGTTCTTCCTCCTGGCGCTAGGCTTCTGGTTCAGCTCTTATGATGAGGAAGTAGGAAGTTGGTCTCTTGTGCTGTGCCCCGTGGGCTCTGCTGTGGGTTGAGTACTGGGCAGCTGCGCCATGGTGAGCAAGGGGCTTCTGTTCCCAGACCGGGAGGAGTGGCCGGCCATGGTGAGCGAGGGGCTGCTTTCCCCAGACTGGGAGGAGCGGCCGACTGAGCCCGAGCCGGGTGGTGGGTCCTCCCGAGGAAGGGTGGGAGCCAGTGGCCAGACGCAGAATTCAGCGTGGTCCTGCCTGGTCCTGTGCGGCCCTGCGAGTCCCACATGTTCCTTCCTGGTCCTGTGTGTCACGCGTGTATTCCTTTTTGATCCTGCATGTCCTACGTGGCCCTTACAACTCCTTGGGCTGGGGCTGAATCCTCTGAATAACTTCTCTCTGTGGGCTGTGTTTGTGCAGAGCATTGGGAACAAGACTTACAAATATCCTTGTTGTTGATGTCCCTGTGAAATGCTGGGGCCTGTAATGCTTGTATTGTCACTATGGAAGGCAGATTTGCCAAACTCAGAAAGCCTTGGTCGCTGTAGAATCTTTAAGCAGTTCTGCATTTTCAACATTTAGGTTTAGGATCCATCTGTAGTTAATTTTGTGGAGCTGGTAAAGGACATCTCCCGTGTAGAGTGGCACTCCACTGCTAAACTGTGATGTAGAAGAGTAGAATTGATGGTAATAGAATTGATGGTATAAGGATTTACCCATTCTTAGGAGTCACAAAGTAGAATTAAGCTAAAGGGAGGGCTGTCTCCCAGATATCCCTAAGATACGTTGTATGCTAACCATGCCTTTTAGAGATTAGTATGATAAGATGTAAATTAACCAGCCATTGAGGAACATTCCCATAACCAAGGAGAAAACCCTGATTTACAATTAGCCAAAAGGGTCCCCCCATTCCCTGCCCCCTGTCAAAGAACCTGCCTCTAACAGGATACTCACAGGGTCACAACCAACATTAAGTCCTGGCATGCTGCCATCATAGTCTAGAACAGCTGCATTTCCAGTCGTTTTGAAAAGTGTTTTTGAGTCAAATTCTCTGATGGAGATTGAGGAGGACTTGAATCCTGTCTGTATCCCCACAGGGCATTCCCCTTGCTATTGTCCTGACCAAGCACCATGAATTCTTTTTTTTTTTTTTTTTTTTGGGTTTCCCCGAGACAGAGTTTCTCTGTGTAGCTTTGCACCTTTCCTAGAACTCCCTCTCTAGTCCAGGCAGGCCTTGAACTCACAGAGAGATCTGCCTGCTTCTGTCTCCCGAGTGCTAGGATTAAAGGCATGAGCCACCACTGCCCAGCCAGCACCAAGAATTCTTGTATTGCAGGTCTGTAGCACCACAGAGTTCTAAAGTAACCACTTTGAGTCACATAGTGGACTGCCCATTGCAGTGACAGGAAAGTATTTGTGTGTGGATCATGGCTTCTCCCTTCAGACCAGAAGAGGAGGAACAGTGTCCTGTGTACACTGCAGGGGGAAACAGACCATGAGCTGCAGAGGTCTCCATCATAAAAAAGGACACTCTGGGCAGGGGGAGTGACTTTCTGTGTAATTTAACTCCTGGTATTATTCCTACCATGTGAATGAAGATAGGCAGAATTGGTGGGTGTACAATTTAGGGAAGGTAACTTGAGGTACTGAGTCTTCAGTTTCCAGTTAGGGAACTCTCCTGTACAGATATGTGCAATCCTGGTTGACACAGTTAAGTCAGCTCAGAGGTTTGAGACACAGGCCATTGGCTTTAACTCCATGTGTCAGCTTATAGCACCCAGCAGCTGACACTTTACATGGGAAAGTCATGCAGTGTCTTATGAATGCCATTCTCTCTAGCAGGGAAGTGCCTACTCTGTTGCAAAGTCAGTATTGTTAAGTGTTCTTCCTATCATTTCTTTCATTTTAAAAGGTCAATTAGTGGTATTTTTTAAATTTCACTTTCTTTAAATGTATTATAGCTCTAATCTCCATTTGTTTCTGTTTTCCAATGTTTCCTAGGCATTAAGAATTTCTTTCCAATTTTTCTTAGGTGCTATTTATTTATTTATATCCCTTTATAGAGCAATGGTTCGCAACATGAAGGGTAGAGGCTCCCTTTAACAGCAGTGGCCTTAGACCATTGGAATACACAGATATTTTTATTATAATTAGTAGCAAAATTTTAGTTATGAAGTAGCAGTGAAAATAATTTTATAGTTGGATTCACCACCTCATAAAAGACTGTATTAAAGTATGACAGCATTAGGAAGGTTGAGAACCACTGGTTTAGACCAATGTCTCCTGTAGCTCAAGTTTGTCTTATACTACATAATTGAGAATTGCTTTGAACATCAAATCCTGCCTCTGCTGCCCAGTGCTGGGAAGACAGTCCTGCAAATCCTTCCAGGCTGGGCCTTGACTGGTCAGTGATATGGAAAATAGACCAGTGAATGAGTGTCCTACAACCTTGCTAGATTTCATTGTGAAATTACAGATGAAGTGGGACCTGTGTAAGAGTTGAGTTCACTGACCCACAGTTAAGCAGGTGTAGTCACGGCACAGAAAGGTTTGGCAAGAAGGAGGTGAAAGCTTTCCTGCTGTGACAGGAGTTGACAGAAGCAGTGAGTAGTGAGGTCATCGATTTTAGACATTCCATAAATGTCCTGACTGGCCTTTTGTCTGTTTCACAGACCAGACAATCAAGAATCTAGATAAAGAACTGAATTTTTGTGAAACAAAATTACATTAGTTATACCATTTTAACTTAAATAGAAGAACTGGATAAAATGGTGTGGCCCTGCCTAACATGACTCTTTTCCATGTTTAAGATGTACAACTTTGTGGGAGCCCATTTTCAGGTTCCTCGTGGCTTTACCCAGCAGGTCCGCACAGAGGAGGATGATTAGGACCACGAGCCTGAGTGCAGGTGTCTGAGATGGTCTGCACTTGGCTGTGCTGGGGGAGGAGGTCTTTTGCTCCACCCTTTGGCGTCTCTATAAATACCCTGGGGCAGAGACAGTCGGGGTCCGTTGGAATAGGTTCCAGGCCTTCTCAAGGCTATCCTTTATTTTCTATCTGTTTATCTCTGCAATATAAATCCTTCTTTCTATCTAATATTTCCTGCTGCTTGCACTCAAGAAAACTCTGGGGAGCTGTGGGGTTGGTGGGTAAACGCCCCACACAGCCAGGGAGAAATGCATGAGTAGTACTTAGTGTGCTCTAGAACAAATCCCTAGTCTCTGGAGCACATGGCCATAAATCCTGTTTCAACTTTCCAACATAATTTTATGGGTTTATTATTTCTTAATTTCCACTATCTCTTTCCTGGCTCCAAGCCATCCCATAGACCCTTCATTGTGTTCTAATCCATGACCTCTTTCTGCTTCAACAACAGTTAGTGTTTGAATGTGACCTGTGTTTGGCTTCAGGACCTCCCAGCTCTGAAGCAAAGGGTTGGCTTCACTGGGCATTGAGTGTGTAATAGAATGTGCATGCAAAGGACCCTGTGCCTTGAAAGAGGAATAGGAAGTACTCTAGAGAATGGAATATTCTCTAAACTACAAGTTTCTCAGACTAGATACCTGTCCAACCCTAGTGTTGAAGGGCAGAGCTGGGAAGGCTTGTGCTGTTTGAGACATTTGATCTCTGCTCATCCAGTAGGGTAACTGCTAATGTCCTGAGGTCCAACTGGGTGGTCCTAACTAATGAGGAGCTTTGGGAAGGCTTAGCCATCAGTAGCACTTGGAGGTGACTCCAAGTTGTCTTTGGGATTCTCCTCTGCTTCTGCTATAGGGAGTGCTAAGAAATACCACAGATATGCCAGTTCTTTTCGGGGTTCTCCTCTGCTTCTGCAATAGGGAGCTCCAAGGAATACCTTAGCTATGCCATGGTGAGTGTGTGTGGGGGGGGGCACTGTCCAGGAAGAGCAGGTTGGCTGAGCTGTCAGAGTCTGAACTGCTGGGACTGGGATGGACCATGAGCTAGACTATGTTTCTGTTGGTTCCTGTAGTAACCTGGGCAGTAGCCGTTGGCCTCTGATCCTTATTGAGTGTGCATTCTCTGGGGATTAGAAGGCTCTGCCACCCTGGCATGGGAGGCTATGATGCTTGTAATATCACTGTCCAGTGTGCACACACAGGCATTGCTTGTGTGACAGTGGGATTCTGGGAGGACAGATTGGAAAACTGAAGGTCTGGTTTCTGCAAGTTCTGGATGGTACATTTCCCTTTCAGCTTTGTCTTATAATTGTTACAGACAGTTTAGAAAATGGTCGAAAGGGAGTGATTGGGATCGTCCTTCAGCAATACATGATTAGAATGCTTTTAGCTTTCTGCTACTGCCAGCCACTGTGATGTGATTCAGTGAAGGTCAGTTCCAGGGGACAAAAGGAAGTTCTGAGCTGCAGAGGTATCTCAGTTTGCATGGTTTTGGGCAGGTGGATAGGGCAGATGACACATCTTGTGACATTATGTGGGAGGAATCAGACGTGAAATTATTCTTCTACAGTGTTTTCTGTGTGGGCATCATTGGTGCTGGATTTGCCTGAAAACACAAGGGACCATGAAGGCTGCAGAGCTATAGCAGGATCTGCAGGAGATCACCTCCCTTTGCAGAGAGAGCTCTAGAACATGAAGCTTCTCTTAAAGAAATATCAGTAGCTAGAGGGTCAGAAACAACAGTTTAAGGGTCACTTTGAGTTGAAAGTTGTGAAATCTGTGTTTATTTAATTTCTATACACATAGAGTCATAGGTAGCTGCCTCCCTTTTATCTTACCTTAAACCACTGGACTATAGGCATGCACTGTTGCAACTGGCTTTATAAGGCAGAAGTAAAGGGATAGTTGCAAGATGAGTACTGTCTGTTAACCCACTTTCTTAGTCCTGATGTTTACTAAGAAGACTTTTTGGAGTGATCTTTTGGATAGTGTGGTTTTGTGAGGGAGAGCCACACTTAACAATTGACACAAAGCCATGTATACAGTTCTGTTGACTTTGTAAGTTCCATTTCAATGGGTCCTTAGGGAGCATCTCTCTCTCTCTCTCTCTCTCTCTCTCTCTCTCTCTCTCTCTCTCTCTCTCCCCTCCCCTCCCCTCCCCTCCCCTCCTCTCAGTTTTTCAGTCTCTCTGACTCTCTCTTCTCTTTTATAATAAGATCATTTGGAGAGACACAGTCTCATGTTCTAACCCTGTCTGACCTGGAACTCTCTATGTAGTAGATAGGCTAGACCTGGAACTCACAGACATCCACCTGCCTCTGCCTCATATGACCACACCTGGCTTAAAAGAGATGTTTATCATGGATTTAGCACAGATATTATTAGAAAGAAAGGACTTTTCGATAGTGTAGTCTTGTGAGGGAGAGCCACACTTAAGAATTGAAAGTAAGCCATGTTTACAGTTTGTTGACTTTGTAAGTTCCATTTCAATGGGTCCTTAGGGAGTCTCTCTCTCTCTCTCTCTCTCTCTCTCTCTCTCTCTCTCTCTCTCTCTGTCCCTCCCTCCCTCTCTCTCCTTCTCCCTGTCTTTCTGTCTCTCTGTCTCCCTCTTTCCTTCTCTTTGGTAAAAAAGATCATCAATCAGTTGCTGGGGTGGCTTGGGTAGGATTCTGATTTAATAAAGTGAAAACATGGGTCAGAAGGGGTCTGCACTGTTCCTTGCTCTACATGGAGTTCATAATCCTGTCCTGGAGATTCTCAGCAAATTGCTGCTTACATCTGGGAAAGGAGTAAGTCCATATTCCTATGTTTTATGTACTTTGTCTTCAAACATGGCTCATTGGTATTTGAGATATCATTAAAAAAAGGAATAGTGTTACTGTCTACACAGGCAGTCTGCACAGCAAATTTTATTAATTTTGTGTGATGGCTAATATTGATTTTCAACTTGATAAGATCTAGAATCAGTCAAGGGACACTCCTCCAGTCACACCTCTGAGGGCTTATCTAGATCATGTTATTCTCTGAGGTGTGCTTATGAGAGATTATCTTATATATTAAGTTCATTGAGATGAGAAGACTCTTCTGCCTTCTAGAAATGATAGCACCATTCCATTCCATGGATTTGGTACTGAATTATGTAATAATGACCGACATTCATCACCGTCTGCTTCCTGACTATGGATACAGTGTAATCAATCACCATGATTACTTCTTTTTATTGACTTTTAAAATTTTACATTTTGAGCGTCCACATGTTCACTCCATGACACCCAGTAAAGTTTAGTAAGAAGTCACCAAAGCCAGACATGGTGTCCAACCCTGTGATCACAAAACTTAGGAGGCAGAGGCTGGAGTTTGAGGGTTTCAACATCATCCAAGGGCTGAGTGTACAGTGGGGTATGGAGGCAGTCCCCCGGGAACAGACAAGTCTATGGTGGGCTCAGGAAACTGTCCCTTGCTATCTTCTGCAGACCAGAACAAGACTGTGGGCCTCTCGGTAATCTCACCTCCAATGCTTAAGGTGTCTTTTTCCATGAGGCATGTGAACCCCAAGGTCGAAGCTGTGGGAGATGGAAGTTCCAATTGCCTTAAAATTCAGGCTCAGAACATTTCTAGGGTGACAGGGTCTCAGGATGTGAGTGTAGAGGATGGGGAGAAGACTTTTCCAGGCTGCTGATTGGATAGGATTAATATCTTTCTGTTCTTCCCCTGCTCACATTTCTGTGTCCTTGTCACTTGACTGAGGGCAAGCCAAGTTGGTTTGAGGTACAAACAGTAACTGCAAGGGTGGGAATAGGAACACTTCCCAGGCTCCATCAGTGCACCATCTCCAGGAGGTCAGGACTAGATGGACCAGACAGTAGAGATTCCAGGGAGCTGATACTGGGACTCAGAGAACTGAAGCACCTCCAGTGCCCTGGGGACACTCAGGTTCTTTCCTGTCTCCTCCTGTCCTTTCCCATCTCCTTCATGTCTCCTCCTGTCTGCTGTGTTTATTCTTTACCCCTTTATGTCCCCTCAAATTCAGTAAGCTGTCAGGTAAAAAGTAGAATCCACATACAGTAGACCGAAGGAATAGATACTACCTTTGCTTGATATCTGGGCAGAGCCCAGACAGTTTGGTAATTTGCTGGGATTCTTCTGCCTCGGTATCTTGCCTGCCAATCCAAGACTGAAGGGCTCATGAAGAGCTGATGACACTGGAACAGATTTGAAATACCTGCGGAGAGGCCCTGAGAGGTCAGTGAGTCCAGTGGACACCTGAAGGGGTGGTAGGTTCTTGGACTGTAGGATGACCAAGGAGAGCTGCAGCTGTGGAGTAGAACTGGGATGGTAGGCAAGCTGTGTGTGCTAGGGATGGCAGAGCCTGAAACATGGAGCTTCCTCAGTCTCTGAGAGCCCAGAAAGTCATTAGAGTCTCAGAACTTGTACAGTGTGATACAGGAAGCTGCTAGGTTTTGGTTTCCTTAAATGTGATTGATTATTTGCTATTCTTTTGTTCTCCCCTTTTTGAAAACAGTGGGCTCTTACTCATTTTTTTTTCACAGAATATACATTTATGTGTCTGTAGACTTAATAAATGTTGAAATTTTTCAACACTTTGGGATTTAAGAAGGTGAGAGTGTTTTACATTATTAATAACATGATACTTTTGGGACCATGGATGGAAACATCATGTTTGATAGCAATATACCATAAAATTATAAGTTGAATGAATGTTTTCCCCCCAAGTTACTTTGAGTCAGGTTATTTTATCAGTTTAATAGAAATGAGACTACTTCACCACCCTGTTTGGTTCTCAAAATGAAAAGAACCAGGATATGAATACATGGACATCTGCAAGGCCTCTTAATGAAACACACTTTCTTTTTTTTTTTTTTTAAAGATTTATTTATTTATTATGTATACAGCATGTATGACTGCAGGCCAGAAGAGGGCACCAGATCTCATTACAAATGGTTGTGAGCCATCATGTGGTTGCTGGGAATTGAACTCAGGACCTCTGGAAGAGCAGTCAATGCTCTTAACCACTGAACCATCTCTCCAGCCCCGAAACACACTTTCAACATACAAGTTTGATTCCTCTTCTGTGTCACTAATGTACATTTCCTTACTGCTCTCTATTACACTGTCATCAGCCCTGCAACCATATACAACCAACAAAAACAGACTCAGCAGGTTACCTTCATGTATTTCAGCATACTTACTCATCCATACTTGACAAGGAAGAAGTTGGGAGGGAAACATTAGAAAAGGGATGGAGTGAAGAGAGAACAAGGGGAAAGTGATGCTGTATCTTTTAATTAAAATGTATAGGAATAAAATTTAAATAATAGAAGGGGCTAGAGAGATTGTTCAGTAGATAAGATCACTGGATGTTGTTTCAGAAAATCCAAATTCCATTCCCAGAACCCACATGTTAGCTAACGATTTGCTGTAACTCCAGGCCCAGGGATATCTTGCTGTCTTCTGGCCTCTGTAGGTTCTGTGCAAAGCCACATGCAGGTAAAATACCCATATAACTAAATTTTTAAAAAAGTTAGAAAAAGGAAATAATGGAATTCTCTACAGCAATGTCACAGTCCTGAGACAGACAACAGCCAGGGCTTGTTAAAATGAACTCCTAGTCAAAATGATCCTGTGTGGAAGCAGCTGTGGCCTTCTTCTGAACCTGCCTGCTCAGAGGCAAAGGAAGCCTTGTTCTTAGGTTACAGTAGCTCAACAGAGCCATCCAACTAAGAGCAGTGACCACAGTGCTGATAGGTGACTTTTCCTTTGTGTTTTCTGTATTTATATTCTCTCTCCATTGTCAGTGTGAGAATAGCAGAACTCTACATGAATGTTTACAGACTCCCCACGTAAAATACCCATGCTTCTGTTGCTTAGGCAAAGCATTGCTTTGGAAATGACTCCCACATTCTCCTTGCCTCCTTCAGGTAAGAAATTTTTCTCGGATCTTCTGTCTTTCCTCTTGTGACGACTGTTTTTGGTACCCAAACTGACTAGCTCTGGAATTAACTAATGCACAAAGAATTGGGTAAGGATAACAAAAGCTTTTAGCGGCCTGCCTTAAAGACTTTCTGAGTCAAAAGGAGACTCTACAACCAGTGGAGGAAAACTAGATGTGAGGGGAGAGGAATGAATCTACTCACACTGTGCTCTTTCAGTCCATCTTTTTATTGTTCCAAGTAAGCATCATCTCTACAGTGAGGGTACCGGCCTATATACATTTAAAAACAATAATTCTTTGGCAGTGCAAGGAGAGGCTTGAAATTCATACACAGAGCAATAACTATCAGGTTTCACTTATGACACAAGGTGGGAGTGGCTAGTGAAAGTTTTCTGGTGAGGTCAATTAAGAATTAAATCCACAAATGTAATCTGAGGTGGGAATTCCTGTGCTCAAACTACATGCCTAAATGTGGCTACATATAAGTTAAAAAAATCTATTAATCAGTGAAAATGATGAATAAGGTAAAACTGTCTTTTCCACCTGCTCTGCTTCCAAAGGGCTCTCATGAGTCATTTTTCCACAGGCATTGTAAGCATCCTTGGTTACTAGGCAACCTGCCTAAGCAGTAGAGGAAGATGTGCAGCTTTTGGTCTGCTGTAGCACTTTAGCTATAATCAGTTGCTTAAAAGGAACTTCTTAGATCTAAAGATTACACCTATTGCTTAAAGATGCAGAATCAAGATAGAATTAAGCTTAATTTGTACAAGAAACAGAACCTGGTACCTTCCAGCCCCTCTGGCCATGGAGGGTTCTTGGGAAAGTTTACTTATCTCCATGTACTAGCAAATGGCTGATTACCTTTTCCACTATATCTCAGTGTTTACAGGCAATAAATCTCTAAGCTAAAGTCTCGTGTTAATAAACTGAGGTGAAAGTAAGTATAAGGAGTTAAGAGTTTAGGGTTAGTGAGGTTAGTTCAGGATAATTTTTCTTATCTGCAGGTGAGGTAAAGCCAGAGTACATTTCTATCTATCTAAGGGTTGCAAATCAACAATATGCTCATACTTTGTCCTTGAATGTCTGAGATGTCTCAAAATTTTGCCTGTGTAACTGTTTTCACACATAACTGTGGGAAGTTATCAATATACCCCAAATGCATAGGGGAAATTGTGCCCAATAATGATCAATTACACTGCTAGAAGCTCTTGAATTGAATTCCATGGTAGTAACAGATGAGAAAGCTACAATTTCACACAAGAAATTCACTGCAGGAAACAGCCAATACATTGAAAAGGCAATAACTCCAAAACACCTTGCTTTTAGGCTTTTAACTCCTCTACCAGAATCCCCAGTTCTAATGGGTTGGACTTGTCAATGATGGCTGAATCCCACTTCATATTTTTGTGGCTGACAGCACTTGGGTATACTTGTGAGAGATTATTCTTAATTAAAATTTTGAAATGGGAAGACCCTTCATTAATCTGGATCTTCAAGGTAATTTGATCCACCTTTAATCTTGGCCAGACCTTCTGGTGGCAGCCTATATATATATATATATATATATATATATATATATATATATATATATATATATATATATATATATATAAAGAATATTGAAGAAGGAAGCTCTTTCTCTTTGCCTAGGAAGGTCATTCATTTACTCTCTTTAGAGCCCAATTTTTAGGAATTCTAGTGTATACTGAAGACCATTCGAGACATCCAGCCTCATGGATTGAAGAAGTACTGAATTCTTCAACTTTTCATTGGTTGACAGCCAATGTTGGACTAGCTGGACCACAGACTGTGAGACATTGTAATAAATTCACTTTCTACCTACATAGGGAGACTGATTCTATCAGTTCTGTTCAAACAGAGAACGTTACTAATACTGTTTTTTTGTTTTGTTTTGTTTTGTTTTCACTTGCCCAGAGGAAGGTGTTATACCTAACAGTAGTGCTCATAAAGGAACTCGTTCCATTTCTCTTTAAGTATTCAACTTGTTGTGAAGACTACACTTCATATTGTTGTTAAATGTCAAGAGATTGAAATGAATTTCAGGAATAAAACTCCTAAAGCAATGGAACCATCATGCAGCCTTCTGATGGAACAAAGATCTATCTTGTCTGTGATCTGATTCCTGCTTTTCTCTCTTGGTTGTCTAAAGTCCCTGTGACAACCAGGTAAAAAGTACCTGAGTTCATCAGACCTCAGTGTGAAGCCATAAAACAGACATTTTATTTTGTGTCCTAAAATTTCTCTGTAATTGTTAATATTCTAGGCATCCTTCAACCTGGTGGAGAGGGGAATCACTCCACTCCACATTGTGTAATGTGCTGTGCAAGCTAGCCACATGGTGTCCAGGAGGAAGAAGGGGAAGTGCTTGTGGAGTGCAGGAATATAGCAGGGTCAGCTATTTGAGCCAGGGGCAAGTGCTGTTGTAATGGAAATCTCTGCAGATCTGGAAAAAGTCTGTGTCTTGGGTGGAAGGCAGGGCCAGGAACCACTGTGCAGTGTCTTTAAGCACACTGTTACCCTAAGGGAGGTGCTCTTGTCACTCAGGCCTCAATAGCCAATCAGGCCCTCCAGGCTTACCTGCCAGTCAGAGGAGAGTGGTGGGGGTGGGCTTTCCAGAGCCAGGCTACAGGCTTGTCTTTGTAACAGAGTGTATACCAGTGGTTTTGTGTGCTGCCTGTGCTGTTGGAAGGAGCAGAGGAGAGAGCATGGGTGAGCTGGGAAGTCACGGCATGGTGAACAAGAGGCTGCTGTCCCTAGGTCAGGAGGAGCAAATGGTGAGCCTCAGAAGCCAGTGTGGCAATCCTCTCTGGGGTTGGGTGGGAACCTGTAGCCAGATTCCCCATCCTGTGAGGTACCATGTGGTCCTTGCAACTCCCTGGACCCAGGTGTAGGACTCTGAATAACAATGCTGTGCAGACTGCCTCTGCTCAGACCATTAGGAACAGGGAGCTATGTGTAGAAACATCTTTGTAGTCAAGGTCAACATACTTTTCATGCATTCATGGAAGGCAGCTTTTAAATTTGTAGAGGCCTAGTTTCTCTAATGATGAATTTGCAGATAATTTTATAGGGATTATAAATGGCAACTCTTGTGTTGAGTAGCACTCTCCTACTAAGCTATGATGTAGAAGAGTAGAATTGGTGATATAAAGGATTTACCAATGCTTAGGAAGTAGTAAGTCATAGAGAGTAGAATTTAGCTAAGGGGGGCTGCCTCTAAAATACCACAAAGATAAGTATATGCTAACCAGGCCTGTTAGAGATTAAGATGCTAGGATACACATTTGTTCAACAGGATTGTCCAGGCATTTGCCTCCAAACAATGACAAAGGAGACACCCCTGATTTTCAAGCAGCCACTAGGCCCATCCTTATATCAAAGAAGAGGCCTCTAACAAGCTGCTCTAGGGGGCACTACAGGGTCACAACCAACCATAAGGCCTGGTGTGCAATTAAGGTCTTAATTTTTTTCTTGAGAAAAGCATGGTTCTGACAGGTGGACAAGGTGATACCTATTTGAAAAGGAAAGCTCTGTTGTGTTGAATGATGTCCTGATCAACAAGACTTTTCCTCTAGGCCCTTACACAGAGAAAAGGAAGGTGCTTCAGAGAGCCAGAAAAGACCTGGAGTCTAGGACTGGGGAGTTTTGTCTAAGGACCTGATATATTGAGAATAAATTAGAGCTCCTTTTTTTAAAACCAGGAATATGCTAGGGAGAGCTGGTAATGATCTGGGGCCAGGATCTTTGTTAGGGGTTGCTTCAGATCCTGGGAATACAACTCTTATCACCACATGGCACTATGGTTATCAATCCCAAGGCCACTGTGTGCTTAGCCAGTAATGTTTTTTAGGTACTCTGTGTTCTCCTTATGCAGCATTGTGTGAAATGCCTCTTCCTGAGTTTGCCTCATTGTATGGTAGCTTCTGTTGACTTCATAGAAGTCTCTCATTTTCTTCCATTTTCTACTGGAAGATGCTATTCTTCTTAAGAAGTTTACTTGGCATGAGGCATAACTTGTACAAGACCTCCCCATACCAGCCTTTATTTTTTCTGTCTTCTACTTTTCCTACCCTTCTCATCCCCTGGATGAGGAGGTGCCTTCTCATCTCCCGGCACTTCCACCTCAGGACCCTGTCACTGAAGAATGACCTGCTGTTTCAGGTTAGTGGTATACTTAAGGAATAATACTGGGACTATCTTTGCTGTGTGAGTTTCCCATCTGCCTAAGTGGCTAGACTTGCAATCTCCTAATCCTATTTAAATTGTTCAAAGTGTAACTGGAGCCTTAACCTAAAAGAAACTTAAGGATGGCAGAACATGTGGAATGCAAAATCTGTTCCAGGCTGGCTCCTCATTGAGCATTAGTCAGAAATGGATGCATGCTATCATTAATAAAATTTTTCTTTTTTAATCTCAAGTGTATGGAGTGATTTCTCCTTTGGAAGGCATATTAATTCTTGAAGAGCTGCACCTCCAGCTATTTAGAAATTTTTTTCTGATAGAAACTCTTTGATATTGATTCAAGTGGCCTTGATTCCAGTACATTGGTCCCCACAGTGATGACCTTGGTTTCCATCATCAAACATTATAAATTCTTAAATTAAATGACTCTACCACCTCAAAGTTTTAAATTTACCCATTTGTGTCATGTAATTGATTATCTGTTGCAGTCACAGGAAAAAGATTTGCATGTGGAGTGTGGCTGATGCCTTCAGATGAGAATAGGAGGAATAGTTTATTGTGTGCACTTTAGGGGGAAACAGGATTGGCAATCAGCTGCTGGAGTCACCATTATGAAAGAGGACCTTATTGTTTCAGGTTGAGTGATTTTGTATTTTTCCAGCATATTTTAATTCATATCATGAACACAGACCAGATTGGTGGGTGTACAATTTGAGAAAGTTAGTTTGAGCCAATGAATATTGAATTTCCAATTAGACAACTCTCCTTTGCAGATATGTTCAGTCCTGCTTGACAAAAATATGTCAGCTTAGAAGACTGAGAAATAGACCATTGCCTGTAACTCTGTGTGTCAAGTTACAGATCTCAGTAGTCAACATGTGCACATGGGTAAGATCAGTCAGTCTCTTATTAATTGCATTTCCTCAACTAGGGAAGATTCTACTCTTTTTTAAAGTCAATATAGCTAATATAACTAAGTTTTTTATCTTAAAAATAAACTAATTTTATCATGCTAAAAGACAATTGTTATTATTTTTTAATTTCATTTTCTTTAAATGCATTTCTTCTATCAGATGTGACATTGGTGAAGATCTTTTCCCATTCTGTAGGCTGTTGTTTTGTCTTATTGACTGTGTCCTTTGCCCTACAAAATATTTCAGGAAGTCCCATTTATTAACTGTAGAGGGATGATCTCCAAAATATATAAAGAATTCAAAAAACTAGACCTCAACATATCGAACAATACAATTAAAAATGGGCTACAGAGCTAAACAGAGAATTCTCAATAGAAGAATCTCAAGTGGTTGAAAGACTTTTAAAGAATTACTCAACATCCTTAGTCATCAGGGAAATGCAAATCAAAATGACTCTGAGATAACTTATTACACCTGACAGAATGGCTATGATCAAAAATATTGAAGACAGCTTATGTTGGAGAGGATGTGGAGCAAGGGGAACACTCCTCCACTGTTGGTGGGAATGAAAACTTGTTCAGCCACTTTGGAAATCAGTATTTTGGTTTCTCAGAAAATTGGGAATCAGTCTACCTCAAGACCCATCTATACACTCTTGGGCATATACCCAAGGATTGTTCAATCATACCACAAGGACACATGCTCAGCTATGTTCATAGCAACATTATTCATAATAACCAGAACCTGGATACAACTTAGATGCCACTCATCCAAACAATGGATAAAGAAAATGTGGCACATATACACAATGGAGTACTACTAAGCAGTTAAAAAAAATGATAGCATAAAGTATGCAGGCAAGTGGATGGAACTAGAAAAATATCATCCTGAGTGAGGTAGCCCAGACCCAGAAGAATAAACATGGTGTGTACTCACTCATAAGTGGATACTAGATATATAAAGCAAAGGATAATCAGACTACAACTCACAGCTCCAGAGAAGCTAGCTAACAAAGAGGACCCTAAGGGGGACACATAGGTAGCACAGAGATGGAGAAATAGATGAGATCTACATGAGCAACCTGTGGGTGTTGGGGGGTTAATGGAGGGCAAGGAATGGGATATGAGAACATAAGGAAATGGGAGGTTTGAGCTAGAACAGGGACAGAGTGGGAGAGCAAGGAAAGAGATACCATGATAAATGAAGACATCATGGGAATAGGGAGAAACAGGGTGCTAGGGAAGTTCCCAGGAATCCACAAAGATGACCTCACCTTGGAATACTAGCAATAGTTGAGAGGGTACCTGAACTGGTCTATTCCGGTAACTAGATTAGTGAATACCCTAACTGTCATCATAGAGTCTTCATCCAGTTACTGATGGAATCAGATGCACAGATCCATGGCCAGGTCCCAGGCTGAGCTCCAGGAGTCCAATTGA